GCCTCCCACAGTATTGGGATTACAGGTGTGAGCCACCTTGCCCAGCCCTACTTCCTGCCTCTTAACCACTGGGTAGTATTTCACGGTATGGAAATAGCATGGCTTATGCATCCAGCTCTATGTTGATGGACGTTTGTGTTGTTTGACTTTTGGTATTCTAGGCAATGACACACATCCCTTTTTGAAGGGCCTTTGGGTGGTCTCTGTTCTCTGACCACATACACAACACTTCAGGTCTTTGTACTTGGTGAGATGTCTCTGCAGACCAAGTTCCTAGGCAGGGCAAGGTGAGTGGTTGATCTGTCTTCAGGGCTTAGTTGTGGTCTGATTCTGACCCTGTTACCTTGTTCCACAGGGGACCAACAAGGCACCATGGCACAAAAGGGCCAACTCAGTGACGATGAGAAGTTCCTCTTTGTGGACAAAAACTTCATCAACAGCCCAGTGGCCCAGGCTGACTGGGCCGCCAAGAGACTCGTCTGGGTCCCCTCAGAGAAGCAGGGCTTCGAGGCAGCCAGCATCAAGGAGGAGAAGGGGGATGAGGTGGTTGTGGAGCTGGTGGAGAACGGCAAGAAGGTCACGGTTGGGAAAGATGACATCCAGAAGATGAACCCACCCAAGTTCTCCAAGGTGGAGGACATGGCGGAGCTGACGTGCCTCAACGAAGCCTCCGTGCTACACAACCTGAGGGAGCGGTACTTCTCAGGGCTAATATATGTGAGTATTGCTGGCAGTCAGGTACCTACTCCTGGCCTCATAAGGAAAGTAGGCATTAGAAATGTGTTGGGAGGGCCGAGTGCAGTGGCTCATGCCTGTAATCCCAGCACTTTGGGAGGCCGAGGTGGGCAGATCACCAGAGGTCAGAAGTTCGAAACCACGCTGGCCAACATGGTGAAAACCTGTCTCTACTAAAAATACAAAAAGTAGCCGAGCGTGGTGGTGTGCACCTGTAATCCCAGCTACTGGGGAGGCTGGGGCAGAAGAATTGCTTGAACCCAGGAGGTGGAGGTTGCAGTGAGATTGTTTTATTGCACTCCAGCCTGGGTGACAGAATAAGACTCTGTCTCAAGAAAAAAAAAAAAAAGGAAATGTGTTGGGAGGCTGAAGGTTTGATCAAGGGAGATTGCAAGATGAGGTGGCATCATTCCAACGTAATTTCACAGCTCAGCCCTTGAACAGGTTATTTCTCCTGTTGAAGCCTTGGTTTTCCCATCAGTAAAATGGGAATAATCACCCTCATTACAGACAGGGGGTGTGACAATCCTATGTTATCACATATGCCAAGTGCCAAGACATATGACAAACTGTCAATAGATTTCCTTGTCATTGCTCTGTCCTTCCTTCCTCTTGAAAGTAAAGAGCTCATAACCGCTTTGGAAAGCCTGGTTTGTCTTGGCAGCCAGGTGGGTAGGAGACATGAGGATGTGGCTAGGTTTTAGGGAGGCCTTCCTTGTCACAGAGGGGAATGTTCAGATTGATCCTAGGACTCTTTTAGGTAGACTTGCAGATCAGAGTGGACTAGAGATGGCACAATATGGTAGCCACTGGCCACTCATGGCTAACTAAATTTAGATTTAAATTAATTAAAAGAAACATTAGACCAGGTGTGGTGGCTCATGCCTGTAATGCCAGCACTCTGGGAGGCCAAGGCGGGTAGATCACTTGAGGTCAGGAGTTCGAGACCAGCCTGGCCAACTTGATGAAACCCCGTCTCTACTAAAAATACCAAAATTAGCCGGGCATGGTCATGCACACCTGTAATCCCAGCCACTTGGGAGACTGTGGCAGAAGAATTGCTTGAACCCAGGAGGCAGAGGTTGCAGTAAGCCAAGATTGTGCCATTGCACTCCAGCCTGGGCAATAAGAGCGAAACTCCATCTCAAAAAAAAAAAAAATTAAAAAATTTATTGGCTGGATACATGGGTTCGCACCTGTAATCCTAGCACTTTGGGATGCCAAGATGGGTGGGTCACCTGAGGTCAGGAGTTCTAGACTAGCCTGGCCAACATAGTAAAACCCCGTCTCTACCAAAAATACAAAAATTAGCCGGGCATGGTGGTATGTGGCTGTTATCCTGGCTTCTTGGGAGGCTGAGGCAGGAGAATCGCTTGAACCCGGGAGACTGAGGTTGCAGTGAGCCAAGATTGCGTTACTGTACTCCAGCCTGGGCAACAAGAGCAAAACTTCATCTCTAAATAAATACATAAATAAAAGAAAATAAAAAATAACAAATTTATTTCTTTCGTTGTATTGGCCCTGGGTCAAGTAGTCAATAGCCACCTGTGGCTAGTGGCGGGCGTACCGCGTAGCATAAGTGCAGAATGTTCCCATTATCATAGAAAGTTCTGTTGGACTGCCTGGATTAGATGATTGGGGCTTAGAGTGTGATGTTGTGGGGCATGGGTCCATTGTGGGATTGGATTAGCTCTCTAGAACAAGAAGGATATTGATATCCCCATGACGCCAGACCGGTGCACAGAGGTTACCCAACCCAGCCTACGTCGATCTCTTCTCTCTGAAAGGGCTTTGCTCACCCTTGAGCAGGTTACCTCATGCCTCTGAAGCTCTGTTTCCTTTTCTGTAAAATGGATGCAAGAATAGAACCAGCCTCTTGGGAGCCGGGCGTAGTGGCTCATGCCTGTAATCCCAGCACTTTGGGAAGCTGAGGCAAGTGGATCACTTGAGACCAGGAATTTGAGACCAGCCTGGGCAACACAGGAAGACCACATCTCTGCAAAAAAAAAATTAGCCAGGCGCAGTGGTGCGTACCCATAATCCCAGCTACTCAGGGAGGCTGAGGCAGGAGGATCACTTGAGCCCAGGAGTTCAAGGCTGCAGTGAGCTGTGATTGTGCCACTGCATTCTGGCCTGGGTGACAGAGCCAGACCTTGTCTGTTTTTTTTTTTTTTAAAAAAAATAGTACTAGCCTCATGGAGCGGGTTACTCTAAAGACAAAAAACACTTAACACACTTCCTGCTGCATGTTAAGTGTAGCCACTGAAAATGTTAAGTGTTATTAGATTGGTTTTTTGCTGTGGTCATGATCACTTTTGATTTTACTAGTCAGATGTTCTTCTTCCATCACTTGGCATCCTTCTGTCCCTTTGGTCCTGGTCTGTACATTTTGCCAAGTGAAAATTACAAAAAGCCCCTTGTCATCTCTAAAAATGTCCTGCACATTTTTTTCCTAATTAGGAAACTAAGACACGTTCACTATGGAACACTTGGAGAATTCAGAAAGCATAGCGAACCCAAAACGGAAAAATTAGTCCTTAACCAGAGACGCTGTGCGTTGTCTCTTTGTGAGCCTGGTATATGTTTACATATTTAAAAGCCTATTGGGCACACAGTTTAGTGACTTGCTCTTTTTTCCGTTTGGAAATGCTCAGTGTTGACTTGCGTAATGTATCTCAGGCAGCCTCAAAGGTACCCCTTTTAAGGGGTAGTGTAGAATCTGTCATGGGGATAGGCCATTTTCCCACTGTTCTTATAGGCATTTCAGAAGGGGTTACGGTGGCTTTTTAAAGACTCAAATGGTAAGAGTGAGCAACTGAGCAACTCATGACTTTTTTTTTTTTTTTTTTTTTGAGATAGGGGCTTACTCCATCATCCAGGCTGGAGTGCAGTGGTTCCATCATAACTCACTACAGCTTCCAAGTCCTGGGTTCAAGCGATCCTGTCACCTCAGCCTCCTGAGTAGCTGTGGACCACAGGCGTGCACCACCAAACCTGGCTAATTAAAAAAAAAAAAAAAAAAACTTTTGTAGAGACTGGGATCTCACTAGACCACCCAGGCCGGTCTCAAACTCCTGGCCTCAAGCCATCTCCTGCCTTGACTTTTCACGGTGCCAGGATTACAGGTGTGAGCCACTGTGCCCAGCCATAACTATTGAATATGTTCTCCAACTCAAGTGCTGTACCTTGACACGTTTTATTTTATTTAACACAACATCCACTGAGTTGAAAATGTTTGCCCCTTTTAGAGGAGGAAGCTGAGGTGCAGTGCTGTAAGTGTATCTTTACCTTCTTAAGTAGGGGACGTCTCTTGTCTGTGGCACTGTTTGTATGGAAATAATATTGATCTGGGGATGTTGGTATGTTAGACATTTTCTCTTTCTTCCTTCCCTTCCTTCTCTTTCTTTTTCTTGCTTTCTTGCTTTCTTTCTTGATGGAACTTCACTCTTGCTCCTCCAGCTGGAATGCAGTGGAGCGATCTTGGTTCACTGCTGCCTCAGCCTCCGGAGTAGCTGGGATTGTGGGGATGCGCCACCATGCCTGGCTAATTTTTGTATTTTTAGTAGAGACGGGTTTCACCATGTTGGCCAGGCTGGTCTCCAACTCCTGACCTCAGTTGATCCACTTGTCTCAGCCTCCCAAAGTGCTGGGATCGCAGGCCTGAGCCACCGTGACCAGTCAGTATATTGGATGTTTCTAAAGAGGCCCATCTGTAAGGAGCTAGAGGGAAAATTGGACTCTTTGGGGCCCAGGTCTTCCATCTAAGACATATCATCTCCATCTAGGGAGTTTCAGGACAGACCTATGTATTCCTCTCACCTGCTGTCCTCAAATAGAAATCAGAAAAAAACATAATAAGGGGCATATGAAGGTCCTGAGACTCAAAATATCTTCTGACAGCAGATTAAAAATAAATGAATCAAAGCTTCAAATTCCTGCTGTGCTTCTCTAGACAGATTAGATTAAAATCCTTTCAGCCTTGTGATGATGGCCCCGCTCTTCTCTTGTTCCTTTCTGGTCAATTTAATTGCTTAATAGAAACCGTTGTCCATGACGGAGAAGATAAAGAAGGAAAGGGGTCGGGGTGGGGGAGCACAGTAAGTTACTTTCCCAGCCCATAATAGCAACATGCATGACTCTTGTTAATAGGCGGGTGGTGAAGTGATGCCAGGTCCGTGGTCTGGCATGCATGACTTTGCCCTCTGTGATGAAGATGAACTTTTCTCCTCCATTCTGCAAGGCTCGTCTCAAAC